AAGACAGTCCTAAGCAGCGCCGTGTGCCGACCTCGCAGCAAATGAAGCGCACACCCAATCCCCCGTCATTCATCCTCCATTCTGTTTTGAGCAGGTGTGCAGAACTGCCTCTGAGGGCCTCAGCAACATTTCTGCTTCTTTTGATTGCAAAGACGAGGCGCCTGGAAACGTTTCCTAGACTGACTCCACGGGAGGCACCGGCACGAGCGCTGGACGGCGGAAGAGCGGCTGCTGACCCTGCGCATGCGCCCTGCGCCACCCCTGCACCGCAGGAGAGACCCGCCGGGCCCGACGCACCACCGTGCTTCCCATGGTTTTGTAGTTTCCGGTTCCCTTGGTTCAATTACCTCCAGCGAAGACATACCCAGAGTTGTTTCTCTTCCTGAATGAAATGCGACTCCTTCGGCACATATATTAAGAGAAACTCAGCGAATAAAAACCAAATTTCAAAATATCAATATGGAAGAATACCTGGCACTGGAGAAAAGAGAGAATTTAGAGAAGAGACAGTCGTGGGAAAAAAATAACTAAAAAGTTTAATTACTATGCTTCCACAAATTTTAAAATATGGTAAATCCATGAAACACAAACAAGATATTATAGAAAAAATTAGAGAACAAAGAATCGCTCTAATAATGAAATACAATATCTGAAATAAATGACTCCATGCAAAGATTTAGAAACAGCCATGAGGAAATCTAAAACAAAAAGATGAAACGTTAATGAGATTGGGAAATATAAAAGATAGCAAGAAATTTAAGGACATGAAATTATCAAATAAATGATAAAAGGAATGGGTGCAGTTGTGTGCACCTGTAATCCCAGCTACTTGGGAGGCTGAGGCAGGAGGACTGCTTGAGCCCAGGAGTTAAGGCCAGCCTGGGCAACATACCAGGAGACTGTCTCAAAAAAAAAAAAAAAAAAAAATAGAAGGATATTAGAAAATGTCCAAGAACTAAAGAAATACATAAATATTTTAACTGAAAGAGGAAACTGATTCCTCAGCTCATTTTTTTAAATTCACCTTTTGATTTTTAAAAAAAGTATCTTCATCTAATTATTGATCAGCTAGACATAAAGAATCATGATGTGATAACAGGGCATAAAACACAGTGTTTGTTTTGTAAAAGAATTTTCTTGAAGTAGAGATAGATTGTGTTATACAGTCGACCATCAAAATATTTAAGCAAAATGAATTTATGCAAGATATAGAACTCTTTTCTACGTTGTTCATTAAGACATGGAATGGTTTCAATGTTTTCAAAACATCAAAATATACTCTTTAGTGGAAGATAAAATGATTTATAATTAAGGCTTAAGAACAAACTCAATCTGTTGCTTTTTACTTATTAGTGAAATGAAGCGTATTATTTAGAACAGTTTCAGTGAACCAAATGCAGAGGAAAAATATTCTTTACCAGTTTTGAGAGTCAGCTGCTAGGGAGAGAGACTTTCTGTTGTGGATGGTGCACAAGGTTCCTCCCACATGCCAATTCCACACTATTTGTTGTGACAGTTTGGAAGGCTTTGCTGAGAAGAATTTTAAGGTTTAGTCCTGGCTTGGTGGGAAAGGGTCATTACAGGTTAGCAATTTCTCCTTTGTGCTATTATATAAGTCCATTTTCACCCTGCTGATAAAAACATACCTGAGACTGGGAAGAAAAAGATGTTTAGTGGACTTACTGTTCCATGTGGCTGAAGAAGCCTCACAATCATGGTGAAAGGCAAGGAGGAGCAAGTCACATCTTACATGGATAGTGGCAGGCAAAGAGAGAGCTTGTGCATTATTAAAACCATCAGCTCTTATGATACTTATTTACTATCATGAGAACAGCATGAAAAAGATCTGCCCCCATTACCTCCCACCAGGTACCTCCCACAATATGTGAGAATTCAAGATGAGATTTGGGTGAGGACACAGCCAAACCATATCAGTTATAGAAAGGGAAATCACTGCATATATTGGCCATCTTGCCTTTAACCATTTTGGTATATGCTGTTCTCAAAATTTCTTCCATATTCTCACCTCAGGCTTGTTGCTAACATAATGAGAAATTGGAAACATATGTATATTGTCTTTATGTCATTTTTTCAGAATGATTTAGAACTTTTGAGTGTAGGTTCCAGGCAACATGGACCTCATCCATTAAGCCAAACAAAACAAAAGCCTTGAATGCATATTCCTGGTGCTTTGCTAAGTAATAGGGATACCAGTATGAATCAAACATAATCCTTATCCTTAGGAAGGTGGCAGTCTAGTGTTAGAGAGATATAATTAAATTTAAAGTGAGAATGCAATGTGAGAAATATTTCCATTTCTATTGCTCAGAGCACTACACCATCACAATGAAGGGCAAGCCGTCTTGGAGAGGGAAGGGGAAGGAATTCGTACAAAAGGAAATTAGAAGAAGCATAAAGAATAAGTCAATATTTGCCAGGTGGCCAAAGATGATGTGTAATGAGAAAAGGCATTCTATGTATAAATAGGAAGGAGAGAGCATGTTTAAAAGCAGAGAGGTACTAAACAGTACAGAATAATCTTGTCTGACAGTTGTGAGTATGGGTGAAAGAGGTATGTGGAATGGATTAAAAGAAAAAAAAGAATGAGAAATTAGCCAGAAAACCCAGGTTGGTTCAGACTGTGGAACACCTATTCTCTGCTAGAGGTTTGGGGCTTTCTCAAACAATGATATGGAATTTTGAAATTATACAGTCCCTTTGAGTCCTGGTTCATGGGTGCTGGCTTCCAAAGCAACCAAGGAGCTGACCACCTGTACGGTCTCAGGGACAGTAAACAGAGTGTCATCTTGTGCATTCCAGGGATAATCCAGGTATCTGTTTCTCCAGTTCATAATCCATCCGGTAAAGTTGCTTTTAACAGGTCCCTAAAAGACTTGTAAGGTTTTATTTTTCGCTTAATCTTGACCACCTAAACATGATCTTCCATTCCTCCCATAACCTCTCCCCTCAGCACACACCACCCCATAAGAATGACCCTTAATATCCATTATTCCCCGTACATTTATTCTTCACTGTCACCAAGACCAGTCTCTCATCACCTCGGCTATGTCTGTGCAATCTGGATTACACGTAATCACATCACTCCCTTAGTCATATTCGTATCTTTCTGCCCCTTTTCCTCTGTACCATTCACCAAGTGAAACCACAACCTTGGGCCAACACAAGAACCCTGCTTCTGTTTCTTCGCTGTGCTGTGGAGGAAATCGCACAAACAGGCACGGGTCAGGGATGCACTGGCCTAAGATTGTGGTTTTCCTGACAGTCAGTGGTTAAATATGCAGAATTTTTTAAAGCCACTTCTTAAACCACCAGTGGGTTGTTATGAACCATGTTTGCACCAACAAAATTAGTGTTTGCACCAACAAAATTAGCAAACACTCCAAATCAGAGCATTTGACATTTTCCCCCAAAATGCTGATTTACTAGCTTGCCACTGTCATTTTCTGTTCTCCAAACACACCCAGGCTCCCATCACTACCAGGAAATCTTTCCTAGTTTCATTATCCTCCATTCTCTCCATTCCCTATGATGCTGGTTTTTCAAAACTTCACTCTCCTCAAAGCTCTCGTTCTACCTCCTCCACTCTCCTCACACTTTACAAGGAAAATCAATACATCGGCCAAAATGTTCTCTGCATTCTGCCACTCCTCTCACATGGCAGTTCCTCCCATTCCTCCATTCTTATTTTTCACCCTTCCTCCTTGTTACAAAGTTGTCCCTTTCTGCCTGGACAGAATTGCCACCTACTGTCTATTGCTTTCTACCTCTGTGACCTTAGACAAGTGCCTCAACCTCTCTTTGCCTGTTCAACTGTCAATCTCTTTTTTAGCCTGTGTATAGACTAGTTTATTGTTGTTACCTTATAAACACTCTGAAATATCTCCCATTTTAAACAATGTCCCTTGGCTCCCTGTATCCCTCCAACAATTCCACACCCCTCTCCCTAGGACAAGCTGGCCTTTGTGAAGGCCGTCTTTCCACCCATGGCCTTGCCCGCTCTCCTCTGGTAGCTCAGGAGCCTGATTCAGAATTGCCACCTACTGTCTATTGCTTTCTACCTCTGTGACCTTAGACAAGTGCCTCAACCTCTCTTTGCCTCAGTTTCCTCATCTGACAACTAGGGAATATAATAATACTTAACCTAATGGAGGAGTTGATATAGCAAACATACAAAGCCTCGTGAAGGGAATCAGTCTCTTTATAAGAGAGGCCCCACCTGACCCCTGACACCACATGAGGACACAGGAGGTGGCGACGTCCCTGAACCGGGAAGGGGACCGTTATCAAACACTGAATCTGCAGCATCTTGATCTCAAACTTCTCAGCTTCCAGAACTGTGAGAAATAAGCTGCTGTTGTTTATAAGCCACCCAGTTTGTGGCAGTGTGTTATATCAGTCGGAAGGGGCTAAGACACGGATGAACACAATTTTTTTTTTTTTTTTGACGGAGTCTTGCTCTGTCGCCAGGCTGGAGTGCGGTGGCATGATCTCGGTTCACTGCAACCTCCTGGAGTAAAGCCATTCTCCTGCCTCAGTCTCCTGAGTAGCTGGGATTACAGGCGCCGAAACCACGCCCAGCTAATTTTTGTATTTTTAGTAGAGACGGGGTTTCACCATGTTGGCCAGGATCATCTCAATCTCTTGACCTCATGATCTGCCTGTCTCAGTCTCCTAAAGTGCTGGGATTACAGGTGTGAACCACTGCACCAGGCCAAATACACATTTCTAAGACCAATTATGCTAAGTAGCGGGCCTCTCTGGTGCCATGTAAGAAAAAAAGCTGAAACCCTTGCAGAAGCTGCTTCTGCAGAAGTAGCTTCCTCGTTATGTACTGGCTGAAAACTTCTGATGCTCCTGGTTAGAGCAACCGACCACACCCGTCTAACAATAGGTGATATCACACTGTCTCCAGTGAGACTGTGAAGCGAACGATGGGCATCATAATGGGGTCTTGTCACGTCCCTCTCTAAAGTGAATCATCCTTCTCCACAGTGAACCATTCATCTCCCCCGTCTCTTGGCAAACCTGCGTAAGCCTGACAGATCTCCGTGGAGATATCGCTTCCTCCGAGAGGCCTTCTCACCTCCGATAAGCCCCGTAAGTTCCCCAGCTGAGCCCTGCAGCACTCTGCAGTAGCGTCTTCACATTTTATTAAAATTGTTGATGTATGTATCTTTCTCTCTCTTACAAAACTGTAAGTTCCTTAAGAACAAGGACTGGTTGTTCATCACCATTTCACTCCCCTGCGTCCGGTGTAAAATAGGTGCTAAATGAGTAATCTTGGAATCAGTGGAAGGGAACAAACCTAATCACAGCTCATATGGGAAACTGGCGACTTTATTCACATTGAATAAATATTTTGAGTGCTTATGATGTGAAAGCAAATGTGTTCTGATCTAGAAATACACAGTGAAATGAGTGCAAGACCCTGTTTCTGTGAATCCACATTCTAGTTAGGTCGATAGATACACAGCACAGGTGATTATCATAGAACGGGGCAAACCCCACTTCCGGGGTGAAAGCTGACTGGTCAGAGCAATCTGGGTAATGCCATCCTCTTGTTCTTAACGTTAATCCAGTTATCCAGGCCTTACTTAAGCAGTTTTGACAATGCCCTGGTCAGACTTTGTTCTAGAAATGAGCACATAGTTCAGGACCAGTGAGACACAAGAGAAGGTTTGCTATGATTTCTGGAAAATTAACTCTCACTCTTTTAGAGCTTACCCCTCCACACACACACAAATATTTTGTCTTCTGCTGGTTGTGTATGTACAGACCAAAGTCTGGAACTGCAGTGTTTTGCTGTCATATAGGCAACCAGTGTTAGGACCAATGTAACCCATGGAAGGCAGAGAAGAGTGGTAAAAAGAACCTATTCCTTTCTACATCAGAATGAGACGCTGAATTGAACCAACCCTGGAACTGCACCTCACATAGACTTTCCTCTATAATTGAACTGTCCCTTATCTCAGCTTTCTCCCTCTATCCCATCATTTACATCTGAAAGTAATTACTTGTAGGTGTGAGAAACAGAACACACAACCCAGATTCCAAATCTTGTATTTCATTTATTCCTCGGGATATGCTGATGAAGGAAGCTGCTGTGTTGATTAACATGGCCAGCCACTTAAATTAGATGAATTGTAATAAATACACTCAGACACTAGAGTTTGTTTGATGGAATTAACAAAACCACTAGTACTTTTGGCCTCAGGGAAACATTAGATGTGATTTGAACTACCAGGTGTTCTCTTATAAGATAATTAAAGAAGAAGGAATCATGAGAGAAAGAAAATAATACTACATGAACCTTCAGGAGGAAAATTGTAACAGAATAACCAGCCCTCATCGGCAGAACGTGACCTTCCGTCACAAAATAAATTCCATGCAAGTCACAGAATGGAGCAGAAAAATTCAAGAATAACTTGAAAATCATTGCAAGATGATTAGAAGCCAAATTTTTTCAAGACAGAATTCAAACATACCTACTTCAGTGACCTGTCATCAAATGCACAAGCTTTGGTTGAGCTCCTTATACAACTTGAGGTCAAGTAAAATACGTTTTTAAGTATTTTGAGAAATTTGAGCATATATCCTCACACTTTTTTTGGAAAATGAAACAAACCAGTAGCATTCAGAAGTAAAATCCCAGCCCTACCACCTGCATTAAAAGAAGGAAAAACACTGAATCTCATTATTTCTGCTGCTCTGTTCCTTACCCAATCGAAAGTAACTGAAAAGAATTACATATCCATTTATTTCAATATATTTCAAGAACACTTTGCATGTGATTGTTTTAGAATATTGGTGTTTGGCAGTTACTCTACCCATGGTAGAGTTGTGGGGGGCAGTGGTCAGAGGAGACTTTCTGGAGAAAGACCTGAGGGTCCGTTGAAATTGACCACACTGATGGAGGCCAAGATGGGTGAGAACAGGGAAGAAGAACAGATCTTGCAGCCGAAAGCTCCAAGGATTCAGAAATTAATGCCAGGATTTAAAAGAGAGCTCAGTTCAGCATGGCTAAAGGAGAGGGAGAAGGACTGCTCATGCTTCTGAACATGCCTTAGTGCAAAAGGCCAAGCTGGAAACAAGATCGGTTATTTTCCAGGCCTCTCGTTCCACGTTGGGAAAAACTTTAGCCTATCTCCAAAAAGTTAGCTATGATCTCCGTTATTTATGCTTCCAGGGAAATCCTCGTCTATGTCAGTGGCCCAGCAGTGGTATCGGTTTGAGAACAGGATTAATGCTACGTCCTTGATGAATAATTTGATATAGTTTAGATGTTTCTGTCCTTCAAATCTCATGTTGAAATGTGACCCCCCACATTGGAAGTGGGGCCTGGTGGGAGGTGTTTGGGTTATGGGGGCAGATCCCTCATGAATGTCTTGGTGCAGTCCTCCGGGTAAGGAGTGAGCTCTAACTCTGTTAGTTCTCCTGAGATCTGAGTGTTAAAAACAGCCCGACAGCTCCTGCCGCTCTCTTGCTCCCTCTCTCACCATGTGATCTCTAAGGGTTACGCCAGCTGCCCTTCGCCTTCCGTCATGAAAGAAAGTTCGCTGTGGCCTCACCAGAGGCGGATGCTGGTGTCATGCTTCTTGTACAGCCTGCAGAACCGTGAGCCAAATAAACCTGTTTTCTTTATAAACTTCCCAGCCTCAGGTATACCTTCATAGCCACACAAACAGACCAAGACGGAATTTTTTTTTTTTTTTTTTTTTTTTTTGAGACGGAGTCTCGCTCTGTCACCCCGGCTGGTGTGAGCGGCGCCATCTTGGCTCACTACAAGCTCCGCCCCCGGGTTCCCGCCATTCTCCTGCCTCAGCCTCCCGAGTAGCTGGGACCACAGGCGCCGCCACCGCGCCCGGCTAATTTTTTGTATTTTTTATCAGAGACGGGGTTTCACCGTGTTAGCCAGGATGGTCTCGATCTCCTGACCTCGTGATCCGCCCGTCTTGGCCTCCCAAAGTGCTGGGATTACAGGCTTGAGCCACCGCGCCCGGCCTAAGACAGGATTTAAAATGGAATAATAAATACTAGGGTGAGAGACCACTTAAAGCTGCTGAAAATAGGAAAGAGTAAGTACTCAATAAATGTTAGTATTGTTTATTTTATTTTATTAATGTAATTACTTATCTCTATATAGCTTTGCTGTTTTCAGAATATTCCCACAGACACACACACAAATCTAATGAAAATATATACCATTTCATCAAACCACAAAGGCTGCCTGAACTCTTTGCTGCTCGTGTTATTAAATGAGAAGCATAGGGGCTCGGAGCGTCTCCAGAGCCTCAGGGAACTGGCTTTCAGGAGTGCCTGTTCACCCAGAAGTGGTTGAGTAAATGGTACTGAGAAGACCGACCTTTGTCAAGCGTGCAAGTCCAGACGTTTATTCACAGTTCACTTCATTTCATGTGGAAGACATTACATGTGTGTTGTATTTCCGTCTAATTTCCTTCAGACGAGACTAAAGAAAGCATTTACCAGGGTGTCAAGATATAAACGAGCCAAACCTTCTCTGTGGTGGTTTCTTCTTTGTCTTCAAGTTATACTCTCAGGCTATGAACGTTATGATTATGTTTAATGGATTTAAGAGTCTAAGGAAGCATAGTATGGTAAAAACATAAAATTGCATTGGTGTGACAGTTAGGTGATCTAGATCTCTTGACACTTTATAAGTAGCAAGATTGACATTGTGTTTCCATAGATAAGTCACATGAATCAATTGGCAGCCATCCTAACAACCTCACCAGGCTGTCCTGGAAATAAAAATAACCAAATCATAGAAAAGTGTTTTAAAAAGTGAAATGAGTATGAAAATATCTTTGGGTGTGATGTTTGCAATTATGCTCCCAAATTCTAAGCATCTACATTTGAAAACATTTTAAAGATTCCCTTTGCTTCCTTGAAAGAAAGAGAAAGACGACAGGAATAGGACATTCAACAGGACAGTGAAGGAGACTTATTTTCTTCTATTCTTCTCTGGATTCTTCCTCCAAACTCCTTCTCAGGAACCAGTCACCTTTTTTCTAATGGTCCTCACCCTCAGCCCACATCTATCCTCTCTAGAAGATCAAAATTTTCACTATTTCAGTAGCTACAGTTTCTCCCATATTTAAAAAAGAAAAGATCATCTAAAACCCTTCTTGGTTCCACTTTTCCCTTCACCTACAAACCTCTATTTTTCTTCTTTATAGCCAAATATGCTTTAAAAACTGTTAATATACATGGTCCCAGTTTCTTCTCCTTCCATCAAGTTACAACCATTTAAACTGCTGAGGCTGCCCCTGGGCTTCCTCACACCACCTCACTAAACACCAAAGGTGTTTCTCACTCCTCAGCCCTCTCCTCCTTCATGTAGCAGCGCTGCCCACTCTCCTTCTCCAGGAGAGCTTTCTTCCCTTGGCTTCCATTGGACTTTCCTCCTACCTCTCAATTTTCCATGCAGCTCATCCTCTTTCTTTGACCATTAGCTTTGGGAATTTTTCAAGGTTCTTTTCTTACTCGATTCTCTTTTTACATATAAACTTTCCCAAATGGATTTCACTGATGACTACAATTCCAGTGACCTCTGTGGCTGACTCTTCCCTGACCTGCACTGATGGTTTCTGCTCTCTTGATAGCCTGTGTATTTTTTTCATAATACCTATCACAGTTTGCGATTATATATCTCAGTCGTTTGTCGATGAACAACTGTGTTCTCCACTCTATTCTAAATTGAATGTGAGAAGGGACATCTGTTTAACTAGCTGTTACATTCCCAGTACTTAGCACAGTGCTTGGCCCCGAATAGACACTCAATAAAAATGTGTAACTGAATGAATAAAGGACTGAATATAAAATGAATGAATGGGAAAATGTTTTAAACTTTCAAATGTTAAGCTACAGTAGGGCACCCAAGCTTTCAATTTTCTCTCTATTTTTGTGATTATAAAAACAGTACGTGTTTTCTCCATTTATTTAGGTCTCCATTTATATATCACCTTTTGGAGACAGTGCACCTGGACTGCTTGCCTCAGGGAAGACGGCTCACACACCTTTGGTGGGCTGGTGTAAGGCCTAGGAGAACAGACTTTTTCAGCTGTGTTCATAGTTTG